TGCCTGCAAGATTGTTAGGGGTGCATCTGTGTGTATCTGTGCCATCTGTGTGTGAAAAAGAAAACTATACTCCATCTTATAGCGTTGGTAATCATGTTTGTCAAAAAGGAAACTATACCTTCTAGATTGATGTCTTCCCTTGCTGCCAAATTTTATGATGTCAACTGTATCTGATGTCAACTGCTCCTAGCTAGCTAGGTCATCATCAGGCGAGATATATGTGTAGTGTCTGATTTGATATATGATGTCAACTGCTTCTAGCTAGCTGGCCTAGTCTGATAATCCACACTGGCTTAGTCTGATAATGCACACTGGCCTAATCTGAATGAAATCTGAATGAACTGGCTTAGTCCGATAATGTCATTGTTTTAGCACTTCCGGACTCTATACTTCTGTGAGAGCACATTGCAGTCATTAATAGTTTTAGTTTTAAAAAGGATAATTGAACAAACAGCTGCCATGTCCAGTTTAGCTTCACTGTTCTGGATGCTTTTAACCGAAACAGAGTTTGGTATGCTATATGCAGTCTCTCATGAACTTATAGTGAACTGACGGTCTTTTATTGTAGCTAATCTTTCATTGTAGCTAATACTGTGTCTAGTTATATATATTTCAGTCTATAATCCATATATGGCTTGTAGCAATAGAGAAAAGTAGGGGAATACAGAGAGCGTGATTTCATTCTATAAGAGTGTCTAGTTATATATATTTCAGTCTATAAGAGTGTAGTGTTCTCTCACTGCTGTAATTGATGCTCTTAGTATGGTGGACTTATCTGGAAGAACTGGCATTATTTCAGAATCATCACCTGGTGTATTCCTTCAGGTTGTTATGAAGTACATTATTGGAAAATGCAGTCATTTAAGTCATTAGTTGTCTTGAGTAATGAAAGTGCTGCACATCTAAACATCCTGATCACTGTCAATACATTCAATTTACTGAAAACCTTGTATTACTTACAACATGTCCTTATTGGGACCCTAACTACATCTGGGGTGATAAACCCAATAGTGTCCTGCCTTGATCAATCAGAAGAGCATCAATTACTATCGATCAGTTCATCAGTTCATCCATGCATATGTATGACTTTTGTGGTTGGCTAACACATGCACACATATACATATATTTCAGGTTGAGTTCAATTTAAGATAATTCAGCCCTGTTTGTTATGATTCTTCAGCATGATTCTTAGCTCAATTTTTCTTGTGCATGTTTTAGACTATTAAAAGTAGGGCTGATTGGAGTGAGGACAATACAGAGAAGCTATGTATGATCTAGTGTAACCAGATTGACATTGGTAACTGCACGAAAGGTACAATGACCAAGGCAAGAATGAGGGAGGTCATTAGGCAGTACACTAATGCTACTGGTAAAGTGCACGACAGAGAACAGATAATGTTTAGGTACAGGCAGCTCAAGGCTCTGTGGCAATTTATAAAGCAACTAAAGACTGACACAAGACTAGGCCGTAACTCTGATGGGACTGTCATTGCAGATGATGAGTGGTGGGAGTCAAAGACTAAGGTTATGCTCCAATCTTCTCTGTTCTTACTACACTATCCATGATGCTCCAATCTTCTCACACTACCAAGTGCTGCAGGGTAGGGCTAATTGGAAGAAGCTGAAACATGGATGGCCACATTACATGTCCCAGTTGGAGCAAATGTTTGAAGGTGTAGCAGTTGATGGTTCCACAGCTTATGTTCCTAGTGCAAATGAAGAATTTGAGGAGGAGGAGCCATCACTAAATGTTCAGACCCTAGTCAGCAGTAATAGCAACAAGAGGGCCAGTACTGCTAGTACTTGTGCCTTTAGTCCCAACAAGAAGTCCAAGTCCAAAAGCCAAGCTATCAAGCTAATGGACAAGGTTATTAGTGAGCAAACCAGGATTGGTGAAGACAGGAACAAGATGATAGAAAGACACGTTGAACTGCAGGAAAGGAAGGCTGAAATGAAGGCAATCATGAAGAAAAGATGCAGGGAAGAAAAGAGAAAGGAAGAGGAAGATGAAGTTGAAATTGTGCAGCATATGGCAAGGGACTGTGGTGTTCAACCAAATAATATAAGGCTGTGGTACACTGTCCTGTAGATCTACAAGGACAAGAAGACTATGACTTTCTTCAAGAAGACTGATCCAGATGCAAGGAAGGGGTTCATTGAATACTATGCCAGTGTCGACAACTAGTCCTGTGTGTCAACGTCTGTCATCTAGAGTCATGTGTGTGTCATTTAAACTATGTGATGTGTGTGTCATTTGAAATAAGTCATGTATGTGTGTGAACTAAGTGATGTGTGTGATTCGAAGTTATTCTGTGCTGTCAGTACTATGTGAACTAAGTCATGTATGTGATGTCAGTACTCACTATTTATTGAATACTTGCATGTATGTGATGTGTGTGTCATTTGAACTATGTGAACTAAGTCATGTATGGATGTCAGTACTCACTATTTATTGAATACTTGCAGATTTAGTACTCACTATTTATTCTGAGCTGCTTAAGTTATTTTGAATGGTGTCACTACTAACTATTTCATGTATCCAATTTGTCAGGTACTTGAAACAACAATGGATGTGAGCAGCTCAAGCAAGTCAAGTAGCTCCAGCAGTTCAAGTAGTTCCAGCAGCTCTGATTCAAGTGATGATGAAGTAACCAGCATGCTTGTGGATGATGAAGGTTCTCATTTAACTAGTGGTATGCTTCTTTTTGTTCTGCATACTGAAAAATATCTATCTAGATCAGAGTACAGAATACCATTGGTACCTGGGATAAAGTGGGTAGAGAGAAAGCTATCAAACAGAGAGAGCTGCTACAAAATGTTTAGGATGACCCTAACTTTGTTCTACAGACTCTATAAAAAGCTAGAGTCTTATGGCCTGAAATCCACTAATAAGTGTTCCTCTATTGAAGCATTAGAAATGTTCTTGTGGATGATTGGAGCACCACAGTCTAGGCAGGCTGAGGATAGATTTGAGAGGTCACTAGGTACAATTCATAACAACTTCATGAAAGTGTTGAAATATGTTTGCAAGCTAGCTGCATAAATCATCTGCCCAAGCGACCCAAGTTTCAGTGATATGCATCCTAGATTGCAGAATCCTAGATTCTCTCCCTTTTTAACAATTATATTGGAGCAATAGATGGCACTCACGTACCAGTAATCGTAGACAAGGATTTGATGGTTCAACACATGTGCTGCAAGAACATTACAACCCAGAACGTCATGGCTTGCTGTGATTTTGACATGAGATTTATATTTGTGCTTGCTGGATGGCCTGGTTCTGTACATGATATGAGAGTATTCAATGATGCTATGGACAAATGGAGCAATAAGTTTCCACATCCACCATCAGGTACACATTGTTGTAGTTGAGGTAGCTCTGTTTCCTATTTGAGTTAATGGAAGCTAACCGCAGTTCATAATTGTGCAGAAAAGTTTTACCTAGTGGACTCCGGGTATCCAAACCATCCGGGATACCTTGCACCGTTCAAGGGAACCAAATATCATCTTCCGGCGTACCGTGATGGCCTGGAGCCTGAAGGTAAAAATGAAATCTTCAACTTCACACATTCATCGCTTAGGAATGTGATAGAGAGGTGTTTTGGAGTACTGAAAATGAAATGGAGGATTCTGCTAGGGATCCCTGCTTATCCTCCACATGTCCAAACCAAAATAATTGTTGCTTGCATGGCACTACATAACTTCATTAGAGCTAGTGGATTAGTGGATAGGGACTTTGCACTTTGTGATCGTGATGAGAATTACGTCCCACCTGAAGCGTCATACTCTCAGCCACGAACTACTCCGGCACCGTCAAGGGAAGATGCAGAAGTGATGAATGCGTTTCGTGAATCGATCGTTGTTGGGCTGTATAATCGTTCTTTGTAATCGCTCGCTGTTGGCACTTTGAACTTGGTCTGTTAGCTGTGTTTGTGAACTGTGAACTGTGTAAAACATGTGTAAACATGTGAACTGGTTTATGAACAATTTAGTACATGTGAAATGTGAATTGTGTTTGTGAAATGCCCTTTGTGAACTGTTAAGCTGTGGTCGAATTTTATCAAAATTGTTTGATTTGTGGCATGGAAGAAGGCAACATCGACATTGTAAATTGTAGCTTTGTGAGCTGTTGATTGTTGACTTGCATGGAAGAAGCAGCATGCATGCTTGCATCGAAGAAGCAGCATGCAAGCCACTGTGAAGAAGCAGCAGCAACGTCCATGGTTAGAAGCAGCAGCATGCATGGTGCATGGGGATGAGGGCAAATCTGTAATATTTGTATTCTAAATTTTGGATTTTGGGTTGAACTAAACGTGTGTATGAGATTTTTTGGATTCTAAAAATTGGATTGCCAAAAAACCAGAATTCTGGATTCCCACCGGAACTAAACAGGGCCCTAAGAGGAGAAAATGTCCTACTAGAGTGTGGGTGTTGTGAGTTGGTGTTTGGGGTGTTGTAAAAACTTTTTTACTGTGTACGCAGGCTGCTTATTCGAGTAAAAAAAAAACTGAGCTCCATTGCCTTATGTTCAAGTGTTCTGAACAAGTTCCAGTTCCAAGCGTTAACATTGACTCTCGGTTATTTGGACCACTTCTAGGCCACTCTTCGAATTTTGGCCATGTTGGAGTTGCATTTTTAAATCCAAAACCAGCGTTGCATGTATCAAATTTTGCAGGCGATCGTCCTTTTTCTCTCTCTTTGGGCACCAGAAACGATTGTCCAATTGGCATGTACTAGGCCGAAAGCGAACCGGACCCGGATTCCTGTCATCCAAGCGGACCCCATACACAATTCGAGCTCGGATCCAACACGGACACCGGCCCAAAAGGCCCGCGTAACCCAACCCCCTCTACAAGTTCCGGCGCAGCCGCACGGCAAAGCTCCGGTTCTTCTTTTAACGCAAGAAAGAAAGAAAAGGAGGGTAGAAATCGAAGCGTGAGAAAAAGAACGCCTCACTCGATCCATCGCCTCGCCGCAGCACACACGACGCCGGCGGCGCCATGGCCATGAAGGTGGACATGTCCGCACTCGAGACCAACTTCGGCAACTCGACCTTCCCCGCCGGCGACGACACGTACTTCTCCGCCGGCGCCCCCGACGTGCCGTCCATGGTGCTCCCCACCTGCGACGATGTGAGCACTCCGTCCCCCACCCCCCCATCTTTCTTCTCCTCCGGGATCTCCTCCGGGAAGGGAGTCCGCGATCTGCCAGATTCGTTCGTTCTGAACCTTGGTTTCCCTCTTGTCTCCCGCGCAGTTCGACGGGTTCCAGGCGGACACCAAGAATATGGTGAAGAATAAGAAGGGAACGACCACGCTCGCCTTCATCTTCGACAAGGGCGTCATCGTCGCCGCTGATTCCAGGGCCAGCATGGGCGGTTATATATGTGAGTACCTTGCCTTCTTCTCAGACTTGGGTGTTTAGGGCCGGCTAGGGTTTTCCGTCGGGTTGAATCTGTCAGCAAGTTTAGATCTTTGTGCGGAATTTGGAGGTTTTGACAGCCGATTAGCGATGTGTTGCTTTTGGTCTGTGGGATTGGGAAAAGAAGTGATTTTTATGCGAGATTTGTGATATCCGCTGGTGTAGTATGGATCTTTTCATATCCTGTGTGATTCACTGTGGTGGCTTATGGCTATAATCTCAAATAAACACAGTTGGGTGTTCAGGACTGCTGCTTGGGTTCTAATAGAGGACGAACATAACATGTTTTAAGCATCTAAGAGGGCTCTCCAGAAATGCTGATTATGTGCTGCCGCTTTTTAGTTGTTGGAATAGAAGTACTCAATGGAATGTTGTTTATGGAATGGTGAGGATTATTTAATGACAACAGTGAGTGAATCAAGATAATGTAGAGATGAACTATTTTTTTGTGTGTGGAAAATAGGTTACTTTATTATTGGGTTCATGTATGTTTCTCTTATTATGCCCTAGGTGTGTGATAGATTAGATGCAATTATGAAGATCCAACTTTGACCAATTGGTTTGGAGGAAGATAATAGAGATTTGGGTTCTTTTAGTTAAGAAAATTTGTACTGATGTTCATTTGTGACATAAGATTGCATACTGTTTCATATGATCTCACATTTCTTTTTTATTATTATGCAGCCTCACAAACCGTGAGGAAAATTATTGAAATAAATCCTTACATGCTGGGGACAATGGCTGGAGGCGCTGCTGATTGCCAATTCTGGCATAGGAACCTAGGAAACAAGGTCAGAAGTCGGTTTCATTTTAATTATTATTTCACACATTACACCTGTGGGCCTAACATAGGTTCTCCCTTTCAGTGTCGCCTCCATGAGCTTTCAAACAAGCGAAGGATCTCTATAGCTGGTGCTTCCAAACTGTTGGCTAACATCCTTTATTCATATCGTGGGATGGGACTGTCGATTGGTACAATGATTGCTGGATGGGATGAGAAGGTGAGTTGTTTGTTTTGGTTACACGTTCAGTTTGTCTAAGTTGTATGACTTATGCATAATGACTTTAATCTGTTTCTTGAACTTCAATTCTTCTCTTGATCCAGGGCCCTGGCTTGTACTATGTTGACAGTGAGGGAGCAAGGCTTGTGGGAAACAGGTTCTCTGTTGGCTCTGGTTCCCTCTATGCTTATGGTGTTTTGGATGACGGGTAGGCTCTTTTTATGATCTGATGATGTGTTGCTTTGTTTTGTTCTCTGATTAAGTTTGAGTTGAACAATGTCCTTACCTCCACTTTTCAGTTACCGCTTCAACATGTCAGTTAAGGAAGCTGCCGAATTAGCGCGACGGGCTATTTATGGGGCAACGTTCCGTGATGCAGCAAGTGGTGGTTGTGTTAGTGGTATGTTTAAGTCTACTTTATGATGTTTATTTATGTTTTATGGTTTTATTTGTTATGTCACCATAGTTAATCTGACTTATATCTAATTTTGCTATTTGACCAGTAACAAAAATGAACATCCTTAAGAATTCGAACATAATGCCAAGATGTCCTTTTGATAATGTGCATGGGGTCTTATATTGCAACTACTTATCTTGAAGAAATTCTGAATCTGATTATGTTGTGCTAAGCACCTTGTTTGCTTAGGTTTTGTCGAGCTGGTAAACTGGTCATTTCAGTTCTTATTATAGAAACAATCATGTGTAGCTTTTAGCTAACCTGAAATTGTCATGGTGATATCTCGCTGGCTTTGTGCTCAGTACCCCCTATCTGGCATTGCCTGTTGACAGTGCTAGTGTCATTGATTGCTCATTGATTTTTGTCAAATCAAATCCATTGTGATGTTTGTAAACCCGTGTGGGGCTTCGACTGACATTACATGTTTGCATTGCAGTTTATCACGTTGGCCCTGATGGTTGGACGAAGCTTTCTGGGGATGATGTCGGGGAGCTGCACTACCACTACTACCCGGTTCAGAAAACTCCGGTTGAACAGGAAATGACCGACGCGCCTACTGCTTCTGCCTAAACCTGTTGTTGAGAAAACCCTGAGTGAAGGTGCATGTATCCATGAACCATGAATTGTAGAAGCGCCATGTTTATGAACGAACTTGGACATGTTTGTCTCACAATGTTAGGTCACTCGTTCTGTTATTTGATTGATGTTTCTGAGTAACTTTGCACAACCGTTGAAATCTTGACCTATATGGATATAGATGACGCTTTTGAGATTTTGTCAACGCCTCCCTGCTCTTGTGCTATTTTTTGCTGCGGCCGTTTGCAATCAAATCTCTTCTTTCAGAGGATATACACTGGGCAGGAATGAACAGATAGCAATCCTGTGCACTAATGCGCGATGGATCAAGATTTCAACTGTTCTTCCTCGGCCATCTCCTCTCTGCTCCTCGGCCCTTAACGTCCCACCCCTGCCTTCGACACCACCCCGTCCCTCCACTAATATCAATTGGAGGAGGATGGCAAGCGACCTTTGCTCTTGCCACGAGCTCTTAGTCTTCCACCGTCTGCTCGTGCGGCACTCTTGTCTTCCACCGTCTGCTCGTGCGGCGCCCCCCGCTGTCTCGCTCGCTGTCCTCTACTTGCTGCCACCACCACCGGGCCAACCTCGCTCGCCGTCCTCAACCTGCCACCACCACCGGGCCGACAGCCGCCATCAGGCCCCCTCCCCCTTGTAAGGTCACCGGCTATGGAACCCCCTAAAATCCGGAACCCTAGCGCCGGCGAGCTCATCTCCGGCAACGGCGATGGAGGAGGAAGGCAGACAATGGGCTCATGGGTCGCGGGGCGCGCCGGGCTCATGGATTATTGGGGCACACTCCACGCTCGGCGCGACGCGTCGCTTGATAGATCTTGCAATAGCAACAGCGATACACGAAAGCGTGCTGCCGTAGTACGCTTTCGGGCCCGCTTGAAGAGGCTCTACGTGGCTCTGGCTGAGCTACCGGGGCGGAGCCGCGTGGAGCACCCAAAGCGTGGCTCCGGCTCCGGAGCCCGTGTGACACCAAATGAGGCCGAATTCATACGAGACTGTCACTGCGGCTTCATAACCAGGGCAAGCACAAAGCCCCCAAACCAACGTAACGCGCGTTTAGTTCCAAAAACTTTTCTCAAAAATGTTACCAACATATTCTTCGATCGTGTCTAAAGCATTAAATGTAAACGTAGTAAAAAAACTAATTATACTGATTTGGTTGGCCACTGGAATGAACGTTTTAAGGCGCGCAATCCATGATTGAATACTATTGTCAAATAAAAATGAAAATGATATAGTCCTCAAATTTCAACTTTCCCTCCAACTCAACACGGGCATATTCTCTTCGCGCTCCGCCAACCACGCGCGCGAGACGCGAAGGCGGTTCCAAGGTCGTGGAGAAGATCCATACGCTTCCCCTAGCTTCATTGCTTCCTTTGCTTTGCCGGTGGCGTGGTGGACATTGCGGCGTCACATAGTCCACCCGCCGGTCTTATAAGACCAGAAAGCGAACAGCCTCACACACTTCTGACCGGTTGACGAGGCCTTCGACGGCGGAGAGACGGGGATAATACCCCATCGAAACGTCACTCGCGAGTCACGCTGCACTCAAAGAACAGGAAAGGGGCGCCAGCTCGCCGCTGCGGCAGCCGAACGAACATCATCGCTTCGCCGCCCTGCTCGCGCCCCTTCCAATCCAAGCAGAACAAACCAGCAATGCCGCGCCAGGGCCCGCGCCGCCTCCCTGCCGGAGAACGCGACCGTCGCCTCGCCGAGGAGGTCCTCTACCTCCACTCCCTCTGGCGTCGCGGAGGCCCCGCCCCGCCCCCCCGCCCTCGCCCCAGCCCCGTTCCAGTCACGCTCCGACCGACGTGAAGAAAACGAGCGCAGCAGGCTCAACCGCGCCCTCCGCCGCGAAGAACGCGAGCGCCTCAGGCTCGATCGCGCCCTCCGCCGCAAAGAACGCAAGCGCCGCAAGATCGACCGCGCCGCCGCCGCCGCCGAGCCGGCCCTCGCGCCGTCTCCGCCCACCTCTTCGCCGGGAACCTTGGCGGAAGCCGCCGGCGCTTCTGCGCCTCCCACCGCGAATCCCCCGCCTCCGACGACTCCCCCCGGCCCGCTCGCGCAGCGGGAGGCCGTGCCCTCCTGGTTGGAGTTCTCCAACCGCTACTCCGCCGATTTCGACGACGAGTGGTCCGATTCGGACCGCGATAAGGAGGAAAAGGAGGCGGCGAGGTACTTCACCGGGCTGTTCCAGCGGGACGCGCAGCTGCGAGGCCACTACACGGGCAGGTGGCGCAAGGGGCGGTTCCAGTGCATGGTGTGCGCCGCGGGGGGCGGGAAGGAGGTGGGGAAGCCGGTGCGGCAGTTCCGGGGCTGCTTGGCGCTCATGCAACACGCGCGCAACGCCCCTCGGTCGCGGGGGCGGCACGGGAGGTACGGGAGGCACGGGGCGCACCGCGCGCTCGCCGCTGTCGTCTGCAGATTGCTCGGGTGGGATATCGAGACCCTGGCCCGGCCTCGCATCGTGATCGATCCACGGGCCACGGCCGGTGTTCAACACGCCAAGGTTCTCGGCTTGTCAAATCATTCGAGCTTGCTGTTGAGATTTTTAGCTTTGACTGCTTGCTTGATCGGATTTGATTGCTGGCATTAGGAGAATGATGGTGCTGGGGAGAATAATGGCTTTTCGACTGATGATGATAGCTATTCGATTGATGAGGATGAAGAGAGTGAAGATGAAGAGAGTGTGGATGAAGAGGTGTACATGTTGTTTACTAGTGGTTAATGAGATTATTGGTCTGTCAATTTCATTTGGCTTAGGAGGATAGTAATAGGGTGTGTGGGGACAACGATCTCTTCAAACGACGATTATGCAACAGTTGTTTGCAGAGTTGTCGACTTGTTGATCGCGGATGTGATTTCTGGTTAGCTAATCAGATTTAGTTGATGACAGGAGGACGTTGAGACAGGGATGACAGACCCAGGTACTACTGGTGATGAAGATGACAGTGAAATAGAGAGCAATGAAGAGTATGCTGAAAAGGTTTCTCCTGCCAATTCTGATTATCTATTGCTAAAATATATGCGCTGCTGTGCAATGCGAATTTCAACTACTGTTTCCCAAGTCTTTGATGTTATACATGACTTCCTTGTTTCCTATTAATGGCATTGGTTGATTAAGCTTTGAACTAGGGTAATTATATGACATTGGCTACCTGGTCATATTTGAGTTATAAAGATGCAAGAGCTATTTGCAAAGTTGTTGGCTCTTTCTTTTCTGCTAATCTGATTTGGCTGTTGATTTAGGAGGATCGTGAGAACAGGATGGAAGACTCGAGTACTGATGGTGATGAAGATGCTGATGAACTAGAGAGAAGTAAAGAGGCTGGTCAAAAGGTTTGCCTTGTCAGTTTTGATTATTTGCTGTGAAACGAATATGCTCTGCTGTGCAATGTGCATATTTGCCCAAGTCTTTGATGACATATATGACTTCATTGTCTCTTATATGACATTGGTGAATTAAGCTTGGAACTGATAAAGTGAAAATGCTGCATATGGCATTGACTACTTGGCCATATTTCAGAGATGAGGATGCAACAGTTGTTTGCAAATTTGTCGAATGCTTGTTGATTGCTGATGAGATTTCTGGCTATCTAACCCGAATTGGCTGTTCATTTTAGGAGGATACTGATACAGGAGCGGAAGGCTCTAAAAGTACTGATGGTGATAAAGAGGCTATTGAACTAGATAACAGTGAGAAGATTCCTGAAAAGGTTTGTAGTGATTTTTTTATTTGGTCTGGAAACCTAGCTCCATTACTTCCTAAGTTTCTGATGTGATGTATGATTTCCCAATATCTTCTTATATAGTATCCATGCAGCAAAATTTGAACAATAATACAGTACATGATTTGAAGGATAAGGCTACACTGTTCCATGCCGGAAAACATGAAAGAAATATGACCACAGAATTGCAAGCATATTTTCAAAAATTAAGTGTGTTGTAATGAAATAGTCCAGTTGGCAAGTGTTGATATTTTGCTATTCCTATATTCGGCTGCTTTGCTCCTTGTGCAATGGTGGCTCAGCAATGCTTGTTGACAAAGCTATTCAACATACTTCCTCTTTTCCAAATTGTAAGTTGTTTTGGCTTTTTAGATTCATAGTTTTTAATATGTATCTAGACATAATGTATATCTAGAAAACTGATTTCATTTTTTTTGTTAACAATCCGATCAATATACAATATTTTTGTTCTCTCACCTAAATAACGCCCTAACTGTCCTGAGAAGTATGTTTTGAATAACTCTTTCAGATAGATTATCTGCAAATATGATTGGTTGCAAGAGCCTTTGACATTCTGATATATGCTGTGCAGGAAGCTGCTAATTCTATTGCAAGAAAACAGGATTTGAAGATAAGAGATCGCCTGTTGAGTCTCACCCATGCAAAACCGGTGGGCACAACACCAAAGAACATGGAAGTTCAGAAAAGGAGTTGTGTGCCAAAACACAAGGAGGTTTCGACACCAGGCAGCAAATTTAATGAAGGCAGTGACAAAGCCAAACGAAAGACATCAGCTTTGTCATATCAAGGCCAATCAAGCGCATCTGGTGTTGTGAAGAAGGTGAAAGTGAACCAGCAACCCAGCAACAAAGGGAAGCAGAGCAAAACTAATGAAATCGGAGCAAGTGCTCGCAAAGCTAAGCGACCCGCTGTGGCTGCAAGAAAAGCGAAGCAACTAGCCAAGAAACGCAAGGTGGATGCCTGAACTCCTGAGAATACAGACAGGAGCAGAAGTCCAAGGAAGCAGTTATCCATTGCGTTGGTTGTTTGCCCTCGTCAAATTGTAACAGGGGTTTCAGTGGATGTGTCTCCTGGTCAGATGATCGTGTTACTGCAGAGAAGCAATGTGCTCCCTCCAACAGGTTCTTGACTTAGATGTCAAGTGTTATCATCCTCTATTGTAGATGTCTCGCTAGTCAATGATATAGAGAGCGAGATTGGACTCTAGTGTACACACAAGAAATAATTTTTTGTTGAAGTATGAAAAGATATAGAGTGATGTTATTTAAACGGCTCTCAAAATGATAGTTTAGAGATAGAGTCCAAGAAAGACTATTGAAGATCCTTAGCTAACAACTAAGGGGGTGTTTGGCGAGGCTCATCCCCAAAACGGGCTCCTCTGTCTTTTTACTAGAAAATGGCTCCTCTTATCCTCTAAGGAGCCGGAGCTCAAAAAGAGCCTTACAAAACAGGCCCGAAGTCATCTCATTTATACAATGTGTTTGTTTACATCCTCGGCACTAAAATAGGATACTGTTCCTGCTGCCCAGGAGTCTCATTCCTTCGCTCAAACATTAGAATTTTAGAATCATGGCTAGAGTGAATCAAGAGCGGAGAAAACCCCCGAAAATTAAGAGAACTCGGGCCGAAGGTAGAGCAACCTGGCCCAGCAAGATTGTTTGTTTTTTGCGAACTGAGGGGTTTTTTTTCCTCCTACGAGAAATTTTGGCAAACATTCCAACTGGGAACCTTTACTTCGCGTCATAAAATGAAATCCAGCTGCGATTCAGAATTGAGCAGCTCAGAGCCTCCTAGGGAGGGCAAGTTAGCCAATCTATCCTGCTGTTCTTATAACCAGTTCTCAACAAATAGCCACAACATATTCGGTACCCTGAGACAGTCTACAGCAAAAATCAAACGCCGCTCCCTTAGGTTTCAAGGGAAAACAGCACGTGTGGGGGTACCCTCTGGTTACTTTTACAAACAGACCTATATAGAAAATGAATACACCTCGGCACAAAAAATGTGGAGGTTCAAGAATGAATATGTGCATAGCGCAAATATACAGATGTCCACCATTCTCAGCAGTTCCCACTATAAGCATGCATATCAATATGTAACCACTGCTAATCTTCTCAAAATGGGTATTCTGATCCGATGGAGTTAGCTCTTTGCATGACAGTGTAGTTAGCCTGACTGTTCAATCAAGATGAGAATTTTCGTAACAAACATAGCTCACACAGATCACATCAGATTTTGGTGTGCATAGTATAATCACACCTAGCCTTAGGTGCGTTCTTCATGCATGTTTTCCAGAGAAAACCTCTATAAGTAACTACCATTTCAATAGGCAGGCATCAATAGGTTCAGGCATGAACAAGCCTGCCAAAATAAGAAAGGCTAAATCCTCAATACATTGGTTATAGAATAATAGAGAAATATTGAGATAAAATAGTATGAGCTCATTAATCTTTTAAAATATCACTGCCATATGTCAACCGTCAACATGATATTCCCAAGTTAGAGCACAATGGAAGTCTAAATATCCAGTAAGAAAATGCAGGACCATGGGGCTTTCAGATATATAATACTATATATAGGAAAAACGAATCAAACATCTCCCCTTTTAACTATCACCTCTATCATACGGACAGATAGGGTAGGAAGTGAAAATGTTTACACTCAAGCATTGTGAAACCAAAGGCTATGGGAACCATACTAAAAAAAAAAAAAAAGGCAGACCCAGTGCCGGAGGCTCCCACATGAGTGGGGTCTGGGGAAGGGAAAAACCGAGACAAGCCTTCCCCCCGCAAAATCTGCGGAGAGGCTGCTTCGAACCCGTAACCTGGTGACTCGGTGAGACAGCTCTCACCACTGCACCAGGCCTGTTGTTATTCTTTTACTTTGACACACATAAAAATTTAGTAATAGAATGAGGGAAAATTGCTTGATTAGGGGGGGGTCTTCCTTTCTTTTATGCTTACCAGTGGCAGTTAGAAGTCACTGTATTACAAAACTATGTATCTTCCTCCTCAAATTCATCCTGATATTCCAAGTCGTCTAGAATAATGTACTTGACGTCACCAGTAAATGGAGGAGAGTTGACGTCATCCTCATTTGTCTGACCCCTTTTGAATTTCTCATACCTGTGATTAGAGACAAATATATTGTTACGCCATGACAAGGTAACTTCATGATATGGTGTCCAGTGAGTGTTTAGCTACTTATGAGTTAAGATCAGAGGAAGTTGTATGTTAATATGTTCACAGTGCACCCCAAAAGTTACTCAAATGCACAACAGTAAGTTTACAACAATATCAAGAAAGTGAAACTTTTTATGACATTACAGGTTTGGGTATCCCTCTTTCTTTTTTTGGAATTTGCTTGATGTAAATGAACCTATAAATTTGTGTACATGCAACTACCGGTACAGAATCACTAATGTGACTGCAATGTTCTCAGTAGCAATTGTGACCACTTGTAATGGAGCTAATACTTTATTTTTGAAAGACAATTGACTGCATAACAACTTGATTGCCAATATTGCTCCTCACCTTTTTGCCCTCATCCCAAAATAGTGGGCTAACAAGCTTTACAGAGAGGGAGGGGAGCAATGGATGAGCTTACATGGATTTAAGATTTACTGTGAGCTTTATCTGTGGCAGCCCTCACAGAGTATCTTGATCTTTGGGACCTATTGTCTGTAGTAGTCCTTCAACTACTATAATTCAACTAGCCATAAGAAAACTTTATCGTTGACTTATTTCAGCATCCACGGCCATTGGCTAGTATGATATCTATGCTACGCTTCTCTGAGCAGTTATATTTTAAAATTCTAAAAAAACATCACATAAACCATCTACCATTACCTACTCTGTTATGTGGCTGCTAGGATTGAGAGGGAGAGAGCTGAGGGAGAGGCGGCGACGGGGGGCTACAGTAACGCGGGCACTGTTCACGCGAGGGAGAGAGGGCAGGAACGGCTGGCTCCCAGGGGAAGCCAGCAACTTAATTGTTGCTTCTTGACTATAACTGATACAGGGTTCTCTTTTATAGAGATGACTAACTTGACCCCTAAGGAAATATCATAACCGAATCAATCTAAGATATATCTTTCCTAACAAACCAAACCACATATCTCTTTCCTAACAAACCAAACAATCTAATCTAATCTAATCACGCGCTACAGTACCGCGTGGCTACAGTACCACGTGGGCCCCTCGAAGACAGCTCGTCCTCGAGCTGTGGCGATTGCTGGAGCGGAAGACCTTGCGGTCCAGAGAAGATCGCCATGGCAGACCTGCTTCCTCCTCGAGGTGCCAAACTTGGCTGCTCCATCTGATCTGCGTGGAATCGAATCCGCCCGGATCGAATCCATGGAGCGCGCCTGCACGTGGAGTCGATGGTGCCCTCCACGAGCAGCCACCCCCGCTATGGGTGCAGCCGAGCGGGGTTGTGCTGGAGGCGTACTCCAAGCGACCGATGGAGCTTTGAAGGCCTGCTGCTGAGCCAGCGGAGAATAAGCGCATGCAAACAGCCACAACCCTGCTCGAGGGATCGGTGTTGTGGCTCGTAGAGGCAGCGACAAAGGCACCATGTCCGCCAATGTCGGTGCATGGATGATCGCGTGCATTGGTGACACTAGTGCTGGCGGGGTTGTTGGCGAAGCTGGTGAGGAGACTGCCGGAGTTATGGCAGCCGGGGCCTTCATTGGTGATGTGGCGAACTCCAACGGGGCCTGTGCGGCGGCCGAGATGACCGGCGCCGTGGTCGCGGCGAGGAAGGCCCTGATGCCCACCACGGCCTGCCGTAATTCCAGGATTGCGGCCGTCATCTGCTCCGGGGTGAGGACGAGGGCGGCGGGAGACGACGGCGCCGGGGCAGAGGGCACGATCGCCCCTGAGGACGCCAGCGCGCCCAATGCCGGCACGCTGATATGTGGCAGCAGCGCCGACGAAGACGCTGGTGGCAGCGGGTGGACATGATCGAACCAGAGATCTCTGATACCAGATTGTTATATGGCTGCTAGGATTGAGAGGGAGACAGCTGAGGGAGAGGCAGCGACGGGCGGGCTACAGTACCCCGTGGCGCTACAGTAACGCGGGCACTGTTCACGCGAGGGAGAGAGGGCAGGAGTGGCTGGCTCCCAGGGGAAGCCAGCAACTTAATTGTTGCTTCTTGCTTGACTATAACTGATACAAGATTCTCTTTTATAGAGATAACTGACTTGACCCCTAAGAAAATATCCTAACCAGATCAATCTAACATATATTTTTCCTAACAAACCAAACAACATATCTCTTTCCTAACAAATCAAACAATCAAGTCTAATCTAATCACGCGCTACAGTACCGCGTTGCTACAGTACCGCATGGGCCCCTGGGCCGGCTCCGGCTCTACTTGCCATAACATACTCAGACTACAATGCAGGCTATAACTTGACTATTGACAGAAAAGTTCAGTTTATGTTTAGCATTTTAACTTGAGTCGCCAGACACATATCAGCCAAGCTATTCTTGATGGTTACAATGTTAATTCTGAACAAATAAACATCTCTGATATTACTCCCTGAGACTAAAATGCAGGTAATAACTTCCCACAAGAAAAAATTGCTAGTTATAACTTGACCAAATGTTAAGGGAAGATGTTTCAGTTTAGCTGTTTGGCATTTCCCTCTTAGCCTGGGGTGCGCAAAAGTTTTGTTTGTAGGAATTAAGGAGTTTGAAATCTCATTGTGCTGTGCAGGAGTTGATCTTGGAAAGGAGTACTTACTTGTACCAATTGAACAAGCTAACACCAACCATAATGGTGAACAGACCAAACCCTTTCAACCAAGTAAATTCATCATGGAAATAAAATACTGCAACCTGAAAGACCAAGGTAAAGAGATCCTTCATAAGAGGCATTAGAAACTAAATTCATGTAATTATAAATTTCATGGAGCCTAGGAATTACATACAACCTATTTCCTAATCTTTGGGGTTATCAAACTTTTTCATGCTAGTGTTAGCAGACAATTAATGTGTTTAGCCTCGACGTAACTCTGTTGATACTACATAGCTTCTTTCTAACATTGTCTACCAAAAATTGAAGGCACTTGTTGGGTTTTTCCCTTTATTTCTTTCTTTGAATGATTTGTATGCACAAACAATGAACTGCTTCCAGTTTTTAGTGCTCAGGACTGGTTAGCTTCTCTACTATGAGCCACTCAATTGTCAATCAACTGTATCACACTGATGTTTGTTTTAGATGAAGTGTAGTTCATGGCTGAAAAGCAGTTCACAAATCCAGATTCCACAGCAAAGCAAGAAAATAAATAGAAGGATAACTTTAGAAAGGATCAATTTTAAATATTACCACAATGGTTACAGCTTCTTTTACTACCCCAGCTATCGTCACGGTTATGGCACTTGTTGCTGAAATAAGTATATACTCTGTTAACACCTGCAGTTAGAATCAAAACACCATGAAATATCTGATAATTACGAAAGTACATGTCCCAGATCATGTAAAACTCGTTACCATGAAAAAAGCTAAGGATCCTCCGATAAGCATAAGTAAGAAACTGCGCATGACATGCCAAGGGTTATCGAAATATGAATTCTTTTGAAATTCAGTCCATGGATCCAGTAATAGAGATAGTATCATAGTGGCTATGGCCATCACTGGTGTAACATGGCTCATCAAGGTAATTGGATTCTTCAGGCCTGCAAAAGGAAGATAGTTCATGAATTACCAATAGTCAATTCATAATTTCTAACTAAATAGTATTGGTCCCACTTTTATCCAAGCTTAGGACACAAGGTGGAGTTATATACCAAATGGAATGGCTCAAGCAGAAACCAGAGCAGCAGAGCCCACATTTGTGTTAAGTGTTCTTCCTGATGCTTCAGAAGCAGATCAACAGCATCTGATGCTGTATACCATTTGGGATCAAATTATATCAACTGTTTTGCTCTGCCACTTGATTCACTATTAAATGGCTAATCGGTTGCTTCAGTAAGAGAGGGTAGAGTTCTCCACTGATTCTTAGGTTATAACTTTTGAACACCACCCCTCATTTGGTAGAGATAGACTTGCAAGAACCAGGCCAAACTGGGCCTTAGTTTAATTAAGGAAACGGCTCCTGAGTGCTAACATGATTGCCACCCCTCATTGGTAGAGATAGACTTGTAAGAACAAGGTCAGGCTAGGCTTTAGTTTAATTAAGAAAATGATTTGACTGGTAAGCATAAAAAAGTTGATTGAATAATCAGATATGTAGAATTAAAACGCCTGCACTACTCTCCTATTACCAGAATTGATATTTAAGAATAAAGCAAAGCTTACATACCGTAAGTGTCTTTCTTGAAACATCAAGATTCACATGCACATAAAGAAATAAACCATTAGCCTAGGAGCATCAAAGAAACAAAAGAGTGAAACATGGGATTGACCATAGCTATACAAGAAAAGGCATAAAATTCGTCAATACACTCACCTGCAACAGAATCTGAGTCATGGACCAACGGAATCCTGACATAACAGCAGCAAGCGTCACAAAAATGAAGCCCCAGAAGTCAAACTCCGTCTCCTTGGAAACTGATGAGAATAATATTGCTAAATCAGAAAAGATAAATCCAAGATTTTTTTAGCATTGATACAAGAAGTACACATCAGCATGTTACAGTTAACATGGTGACTAAGATAAGGAAAACATTCAGTTACTAAATTCAAGTTTACTGTAAATTACAGTGTATGAACTTTGGTGAATTCAACATGATGTGGAGCTGACTATTTTTAACAACACATCCTCTGAAAAACTACCTCAGAGTGATGAAACTGAATACCAGAACTCCAAGATATCCATTTAATTATGGATGCTAACAGCCTAACAATGATTTGACATGTATTTTTATTATTTTTATGAAGAGCATAAATTACATTTTGGACTTCTGATCAAAGCAAAGTTTGTTGACTTCACAAGTTGCTGAAGTGAATTTGAATCAAGTAAGATAGTCAGATATATCACATGCTATTATTGTGAGATGCTTGTTCAAGAGAATTTACTTTTTTTTTTCTCCAACCGGCAGGAGAGCAGCCCATCATTATATTAAGGAGAGAACAAATACAAGAAAACTACCAGAGCAGGGCCAAACACACCCAAAAGCACACACAGCCCAAAGAAAAGAAGCATAAAAGAAAAAGAAAAGAACTCCCAAGAGAATATAGTGAAAGGCTGGAAGCCATATTCGGTAGCTACAAATAAAACTGGAAATAAGATCAATTCCTCCAGTAAAAATAAGAATACAACATCAACAGAGGATGTGGATTCCTGCAATATTGTGCAGATGTCAACTTTGCGAGGAAAATAAAAGCCAGTCTGAAACTCGCAGATGCTTAACTCTATGGCATTGCTCAACGTTTTGTACTGGATGTTCAGCCAGAGGGCATGCACTTTGATTATGCTGTAATAACGCTGAATTTACTGGTCCTGATGCAATGCAATGGACTGGGACTTTGTCGCTGGAACTCTAAAAAACTAGTAATATATATGTGGAATATCTATGTGTATCCTAACAACACCTTTCTATAGGTAAAGCTTTTGTTCATCACCTAAAGGTTTATGTTCCAATTAGTGCTGGAAAAATACAGTCTAACAAAGACAGGCAAACAGTTAAATCTTAGAAGCATATTGTACCTGTCAACAGAACTCCAGTAGAAATAACAACTATAATTCCTAGAAGCTTGATGCTAGGATTCTCCAACCTTGAAAATAGGAAGAAACTTTTAGATGTGCATATCATCGAAAACAATGGAGAAGAAAGAAAAAACGCTCAGAGATGCATGTTAGTTAGGGAGCGATGGTGACCCCTTCCTTAAGAAAACAAATGAATATAGCCTGTTCGCTTGGTCGTAAACGATCGTGGATTATAAGCCAGAACAGCATTTTTCTCTCACACCAAACCAACCAGCAGTAATAATCCACGATCGTTTCAGCCGAAACGAACCGGCTGATTATGACACTGTAATAAACTTATCACAAGAAAATAATAAATGGATAGAATGTAATCAAATAAGTTAGTGGAGCAGGTTCTATGTGATCCAATGAGGTTGCAGTTGCAACAAAACTATCGAACAAGAATAAGTGTTCATCTGTACTTAAAGAATATTTTGCAAGTTATAATTAAAGAAGGAAGCAGTAACTTAGAGAAAATATTTCATATGAAAGTTATGATAAAAAAAACATGCTTATTCGAAATTAGCTTACTTACGACTTCTCTACTTAGAAAAAGTTACATTGTACTGCTTGGCATGTCCAGATACTAGACAATTAGTGTGGCTGTGCCTGTGTCCATTTAAAGTTCACACCAGATCCTCATGTGGGTTAAGGGAAGTGTGCGTTTATCACTGCTGTACATTTGAACCACAATTTTTTGCTTTCATGTAAAACGTTAGTAACACTTCTTTCTAGCTTAAGACTACCATGCTTCATTAGTGCCCGGCGTTGGCTGCTTCAACTAATTGTCTTCAAAAGCTACTACCATATTTTTTTTTCGCGAGCGGGTTTGCACCCGTTTTTCATTAAGAGGACAAGAGTTTTAAACCTTACAACACTGACAGTAAAGGTGGCGAGGAGCCTCCAACACCGCCAAGGGACAGCCTAACTACTGGATGCACTTGAGATGAGCTACTACCATAATTCATAGTGCACGGCATTGGCTGCTTGAACTAATTGTCTTCAGATGCGGGATAAACATAGAACTGTATCAACCAATTATGTAGCAAGTTTGTAACAATTGTTTGAGAATATAAATGCCCTGCTGTGCTAATATGGATATAGTGCAATTTACAACTAAATTCCAAGTAGGAAAAACGAAAACCGGGGGAATGAAGGCCAGCACTCACCTAAATGCAAACGCAAAGAGCAACAGGAATATCGGGGAGGCTGATTTACACTACAAAAGATCAATTTCATGAAATCTAGTCACTGAACAAATTGAGGAATCTAACTAAATAAAGAATAGCAAGTGAGTTAAATCCTTTGGTGGACACACCATAGTAGCAAACGTCACCGAGATGAACACCAGAGACGCGTTGCTCAGGTTTATGTCCAAGGCCGTCCCGAGAGCAGTTGGCACGACTGCATGCAGAACGGCTAGTAAGGATCGTTACTCATCCATAGTAAACAAGCAAGCACAAGCCATAGCTGAAATCTCTCCTAAACCGAGATCCACACCTCTCATGAAGTAGTCCTTCCACCCCATCTCAACGGCGGTCTCGGGCCCCTTGGATTGGAAGAAGATTATGAGCTTGGAGAGCCCCGCCTGCAGCGCGAAGTGCACGGTGTTCATCAGCAGCGGCGCCGGGAACTTGCCGAGCTTATCCCCCAGCAGCGTCTTGTTATATCTGCCAGCAACGAAGCAGTCAGGCCGCCATCTCCGCAGCGGGGGAAGCAGTAGGGGGGGAGTGGGGATCCAGGCCACTCACAGCGTGAGGCAGGTGCTGAACGCGTACCACACCAGGATGTAGAACCCGGTCCTGAGCACGACGGCGGGCGCCAGCGCGGCGCGCTCCGCACGCTCCAGCGACTCCAGCTTGGTGACGGACTCGCTGGGCCGGAGCCCCCCGCCCGCTCCGCCGGCGGAGCAAGGGGGGTTCTCGACGTCGAACGCCCGGCGCGCCGCTGCCTCCGGATCCGCGGCGGCGGCGGCGGCGGCGGCGTGCATGCTCCGCTGCCGGAAGTAGCCCGGCCGCGGGGAGCCCACCTCCGCGGCGGCCCCGTCGGCGTCGCCGCCCTCGGGCTTGGGATGCATGCCTCCTCGCGATTCCGTCCGTGCTCCGGGGCGCTACGCTACAAGGCTCGCATTGCGGGCGCTCGACCGGGGTGCCGGTGCCAATGCCGCGGCACGGGCCGGGGGGATCTGGGAACGCGGCGCGCGAGGGGGAGGCGCGACGTGAGTGGGGTTGGGGGCCCGTGGGGACGGCGCCTGCGCCTTCGCGAGCGGCTGCCTGCTGGAACGGAACGGGGATGGCCGGACGGGGGCGGGGACGAAGGGGTGGTTGATTTGGCGGGTGCGCGCGACGTGGGTTGGGTCGGGTGGCCGGATGGACGCGCCTCGTTGGGTGCCTGGGCTGGTGGGTTGGTAGTGGCTCTGTGTTTGTGGGGCGCACGCTGCCTGCCTGCCGGGGCGGGGCCGGCTTCACCCCTGCCACCCCAAACGTGAAATGGAAGGGTTTTGGGGTGTGGTGGGACATGTGATGTGATGGTGGTCTGGTGGTGCATGACAGCAAGAGAGGACTGAGGGGCTGTTTAGATGCCGAATTTTTTGTCAAAATATCACGGTAGTATTTTCGTTGTTATTTGATAATTAGTGTTTAATTATAATCTAATTAGGCTTAAAAGATTCGTCTCGTGGATTTTATCTAAACTGTGTAATTAGTTTTATTTTTTATTTATATTTAATGCTTCATACATGCGTCCAAAGATTCGATGTGACGGGGAATCTTAAATTTTTTTGCAAAATAGGAGGGAACTAAACTGGGCCTGAGCAATGGTTACCTTTGATCTTTTGCATATGTATTTTCTTTATAAATCACATGGTATATACTTAGACACTCGTATGCATATTAGCTCAACTATGAACATGTATTTTATCCTTACAAAAATCTTAAAAAAACTGAGCTTACAGATATCGAAATTGACAAAGTCACCACAAACGAACCTAACCAGCTAAGTGGCACTCAAGTTCACTTTGATCTTTTGTGTTGGAAAAGTGTAGTATCAATTATCGGTTATTTTTTGTTAGGTTTGGATTGTTTTGTATTATGATTAAATATCTATGAGTAAGTGAGATCTAATAACCAGATCCTTGTGTATTATGGTTAAATATTTACGAGTAAGTATTATGATTAAATATCTACGAGTAAGTATTATGATTAAATATCTATGAGTAAGTATTATGATTAAATATCTATGAGTAAGTAAGATCTAGTGATCTAAATGTTGCGTATTATATGGTCAAATGTTTATGAAGTAAGATCTAATGATTAGCGTTTTGGGATATGCATTTTACTTGGCTCAAAGGATAAGGATTCACTTGGTAAACCTAAATAATGATTATTACAACATATATCAATTAAAATGATAAAGAGTTGTACGAAAGGTGTGTTGTAATTTTATATAGCAATAGTGATAATCTAGTTGTACAAGAAATTAGGATGCAAGCATGAAAATGTGTCGTCGTCTATCATGGCTACCTTCTAGTTTGCTATGCTAATCTCTACGAAGTTGTTTGCACCTTAACCTTTTGTGTTGCATCTCACATGGTTGGTTTATTTACGGTTTTATTCTGTAGTTAGTGCAACACGTCCATGTGATGCTTATGTGCTTATCATTAAGATCAGATTGTCACAATCGTGTAGCTCTCATATATAGACTATATGTCATTCAAGCTATTTAAATCTCTTAGAAGGATCACTATGCAACTTATGCCGAAGAAAAATGTTTCATTCGCACCTCAAACTTAAAAAGCATGTGGCGATAAAATACTACTCCCTCCGTCCCCAAATAAATCAATTCCTAGAATCCGTGCCAGTCTAACTTTTTAAAGTTTGAGTAACTTTATATAAAAGAATAACAACATCTATGTCATAAAATGAGCACCTTCGACGAAATATGGTCGGTAGTCTACCTAGGGGTATGCCCAATGTAGTAGATTATCGAATAACAACATCTACTGTCAGATTGTGACGTAAAGACGATACCGAGGTTTTATCTAGGTTCGACCGAAATGCCTACGCCCCGCCCATGATTGTATTGCTATATGTAAAATGAGATGATTTCGAGAGAGGTCCCCGCCTCTATTACAGATCTGAAACTAATCCCAACCTATACAATTGTCATAGGTGGTATAAGGATTCCTATTCTAACCGACTAGAATCTTGCTTGATCTCCAAGTCCGCTTTAGGGACTCATGATTCCTTGCATATGACCGAATACCTCGGCCGACCGTCTGTCGTTTTCCGGTGGACCCCGTCCTGCCGCCCAAACCTAATCGTAAGGGTATAGGGGTTAATACCCCCACAAGCACCTCATAAAATATATTCTATGGTAAATTTCATGATACTAATTCGATACTATAAGTCTTAACGTTTTTTTAAGAAACTCGATCAAAGTTTAAAAGTTTTGACTTTAGACAACTCTAGAAATCTATTTATTCAGAGACAGAGAAGTATATAACAAGGTAATAAACTTTGTTACCATAATGTGCCTTTTTGTCTAAAAAATCAAAAAATATGTATTGCATTACTCAACCCTAAAACAAAAACTAAAATTCTTAGTCTAGTATTAAAAAAACACCCTGCTTAATTATTCAGGTTACAGCAGAGTAGCATAGATATAGATAAATAAAAAAGTATAGAAAATCGTACAACCTGAGAAGCAAGCAACCTTTGGCCCCTGTTTAGCTTATCTTAAATCCGGCTTGTTCGGCTTCTTTTTTCGATCGGAACAGTATTTTTTTCTCATAACAATTCAGGCAGAATAGTGTTTTCCGGCCAATTTCAACCTCTGCAAGCCGAACGGAAGCAAAAGGCGTAGCTTTGCATAGACCAAGAACGCCGATGCTTCCAATCTGGCGGTCTGCGAGCATTTGAGCCTCAGCAAGCCGAACGGAAGCAAAAGGCGTAGCTTTGCATAGACCAGTACGTGCCGCATGCTTCCAAATCTGGCGGTGCAGGCCAAAGAACGTGCTGGAAAATGCCAAGCATGACTTGCACAAGCACAAACGGAGTGCCATTTGCCAATGCACAAGCATCGAATCCGAGATCGATCCACATGGGGAGGCCAAAAAGGCAGATCTGAATTCTGAACTGCAAAAGCAAAAGCACCAAGCTCGGATCCGGATTTGGATCCAAACATTCCGTACGTAACATGTCCGCCGACCCACAAACCCGGCACATTTGAACCCGAGGTCTTAGTCTAAGCCGAGGGCGTCATCAAGATTAAAATATCTAATAATATAATATAATTGGGATGGTTACGGACTGACCGAAGAAGACACCTGTGTGTTGCTGGACCTAACAAACGGATACGAAACTGGCTGCAAGCCTGCCGCCATGATGCTGGGAGCACTGCTCTCATTGCACACAACACAGGCTTTGTGGTGTTTAAATCCAGGCATAAAGTTTTGGGGTGTTATATTGGATATTACATGGGTGTCGCATAAGGTGTTCGGATACTAATAAAAAAATAAATTACAGAATCCGTCAGTAAACCGCGAGATGCATTTATTAAACCTAATTAATCTATCATTAGCACATGTGTTACTGTAGTACTTTATTGTCAAATAATGAACTAATTGGGCTTAAAAGATTCGTCTCGTGCAAAGTAGTCGCAATCTATGTAATTAGTTATTTTTATCTATATTTAATATTTTATACATGTATCTAAACATTTAATACGACGTGACGTAAAATTTTAGAAAAGAACTAAACAAGGGCAAAGCTTGACCAACAACTTCTTTCTGTTTCGGGTAGAAATAAACAAAGGGGGCCTGAAAGCCTGAAAAGATGCCCGAAAGGCAGGTAGCGTGCGGCAGTTGCAGGACTGCAGGTAGACTGTGGTTGGGAACTAGGAGTGCTGCATTTGTGCATTGTGCCCCACATCTATCGGGTGGTTGTTGAGTCTGTGGCTTGTTGGCAAAATGGCAAGTGCTATGATCTGTATCTGGGGTTTGAGTTGTTGTTTGTTGGTCCAATGGTGCCATCAGTTTCATTTCATTCATTTCTGTCTTGCCCTGGAACTGCATGCATGATCAGGTGAGGATCCAGAGTCGCAGTCAGGTCCACCACCTTCGTATCTGCATGCGGCTCATGATGAATCATGACACGGTTGGCCCATGTACCCAAAACCCAAGAGAGGAGGTGCCTCTATCTGTTCAATCGCATTGGCAAATAAATTTTGTAAGGATTGAGGGTAGCGAAGTGGCTAAACATATGAAAGAAAATTTGAATATCACAAGATATAAATGTGAATTATTTTCCATTAAAACAATATAAATGTGAATTCATCCAGTCGTGTCATATGAACTCACAAGAGTAGCATAGATAGATAAATAAAAAAAAATCTAGAAAATCGTACAAGCTGAGAAGCAACCAACCGACGAGGAGACAAGAGGCATAGCTCTGCATAGACTTTTTTTTTTTGCGTAAAATAGCTCTGCATAGACTAGTACGTGCCGGTGCGGCATACATACGGATCTGGCGGTGCAGGCCTGAGCAGGTGACGAAAATGCTAAGCATGACTTGCACAAACGGAGTTGCCAATGCACAAGCATCGAATCCGAGATCGATCCACATGGGGGGCCAATAACGCAGATCTGAACTGCAAAAGCAAAAGCACCAAGCTCGGATCCGGATTTGGATCCAAACATTCCGTACCTACCATGTCCGCCGACCCACAAACCCGGCACACTTGGACCCGTGGTCTTACGCCCTGTTTATTTGAACTTATCCCATTTCTTGAACAATATTTTCTCTCACAATAAATCGAAGGCACGACACATCGCTCCACACCTTGAAAAACCATCAATCGAAAGCAAGTCTAAGCTGAGGGCGTCGCTAAGATTAAAATATCTAATATTCTACCTCATTTTTCTTTTGTTTACATGTTTCTATTCTTATAACCGGATCACAGGAAAAAGCCGGAGATAAAAAATATTGTTCATTTGATTTATTGTGATAAAAAATATTATATCATAAATGCTTAAAAGCCAATAATAAGTTAAAGCGATAATGGGATGGATACGGACTG